CCACACTCCCATCATGGTACAAGCGTCTATAGCATTCTTTCTTCTCCTTAATAGCCCTTTGGACTTCCTCGTTCCACCACCAAGTATCTTTAGCCTCGCCTCCACTTCCTTTGGTTACTCCACACACCTCTGAGGCCACCTTCCGAATGTTGGTTGCCATCTTCTCCCACATGTTGTTTATGTCGTCTTCTTCCTTCCAAGAGCCCTCTTTGATAACCTTTTCCGTAAATACCTCTGACGTCTCCCCTTTCAGTTTCCACCACTTTGTTCTTTGAATCTTAGCTTGTTTATCCTCACGGCACGCTTTTGAAAACTAAAAATCGCCACCAAAAGCTTATGTTGAGAAACAAAGACACTCCCCCGGTATCACCTTGCAATCCAAGCATGCTCGTTTGTCCTTTCTTCTTGCGAGGACAAAGTCAATCAGCTCTGATGTTGTCCGCCATTGAAGGTCACTAGATGAGATTCTCTCTTTCTAAAGAAAGTGTTGGCTATCATCGAGGTCAAAGCTACCGCTGAAGTCCGAACTTCCTCCCCTCCCGATTCCTACTATCATACCCAAAACCTCCATGAAGCGCCTCAAACTCAAGCGCTTGTAGTACCTACATGCCCATTAAGATCTCCTCCTATAAAAAGCTTCTCACTACTAGGTATAGCTCTAACTGTGCCATCTAAGTCTTCCAGTAAGGCTGTCTCTTAGCACTCTCGCCGAGGCCTACTTGGGGGCATACGCACTAATTACGTTCAAGACCATATCACCAACGACAAGCTTGACTAAGATAATCCTATCTCCTTGCCTTCTCACTCCCACTACACCATTCTTGAGGCTCTTATCAATCAAAACTCCTACTCCATTTCTATTCATATTTGTCCTCGTGTACCAAAGCTTGAAGCTGTGATTGTCCACCTCCTTCGCCTTGACCCTTCCATTTAGTCTCTTGAACGCATAATATATTTACACGCCTCCTAGTCGTGGTATCAACTAATTCTCTTAACTTACCCGTAAGTGACCCTACATTCCAACTACCTAAACGGATCCTAGTTGGTTCGACTAGCTTCTTACCCTTCGCACCCATCGACTCGGATCACGAAGACCCTTGCTCATTTTTCACTACATCCGGGCGCCGATGTAGCGCCACTAAGGGAAGCGACGACCCGATCCTTGCTCACTTGACACCATGCCCAGATCACGACACGGTAGGCCACGGAGGTGACGACCCGGCCCTTGCCCATTTAACACCATACCCGGGTTCCGATATGGCGCGTCGCTAAGAGGGTTACGCCCTAACGATTTTCTTTCGGGTTTCATCTCCATTAGAGTGGCTAAGTTTTTACATTGGCTCGCCACGCCTAACACAACCCTCCTCCTTTACCAGGGCTTGGGACCTGCTATGCTGGGACACCAAAGGCGCCCCACCATAGGCGGAGTTATTAGCTAACCTCATAAAAAGATCATTAGAGCATCTCAAAGAGCATCCAAAAGAATGTCCCGATCCAGGAATTTTGAAAAGATTAAAAAAACTCATCTCCAACAACTCTAAAACCCACCTCCCAATCTTTTAACACTTGAAAAAAGTAAAAAAAAACAATCTCATGCGCGTAAAGTTACGCGCGTCTCCCAATCTAGATGTGTAAGGATGTGGGGAAGAAAAAAATAAGATAGGGTTCCTGATGCAAATGTATAAGAGACAAATAAAGTATAAACGTGGTTAGTGTGATTTAGAATAGTTTAGAATTGATGATGTAAAATTACCTTATATCTCTTAGGCGCAAGATTTTAGAAACTGTTGGAGTTGTAGCTTTTTTATGTCTCCCAATATATTTTGCAAAGGTTGAAAAACCTAATTTTGGGGAGTATTTTTTTAAATATTGTTGGAGATGCTCATTAGACTACAGAAGAAGTGAGCAAAATGTCTAAAATAAGGGTAAAGTGCGTTTTCAACCTTTAACTTGCACAAGAGTTCGGTTTTCAACCCTCAACTATGAATCCGGATATTGAACACCCTTCAATTGTTAAAACTGGACAAATATAGTCCTTTACCTAGTTTCAAAGGTGGTTTTCTATTTTTAAAAAATAAGAATAACTTGTTTTATAATATCTAAAAATTAATAACTTACCTATTTTAAATAAAAAAAGAAACCAATAACATTTTTTCTAAAAATATTGACCCTGTTCGGCTGGCTGGAAAAACGGTTGATGCTGATGCTGATGTTGATTTGTTGTGAGAGAAAAACACTGTGATTTCGCTGAAACGGTACGGCTGATAAGTTTAAGCGAACAGGGCCATTATCCAACTGTTGGTAATATATTTACAATACTTTGGAACTTATTTAATTTTGTTCCTATTGTTTTATTGCCTGTTGCCTGTGGACTGGTTTATTAGAAATATGAACAAATATGATTCAAATGACTCCAAATAGATCACCAATGAATAAATGATTTTTAGGGAAGAAATGGTATTAGTTTCACATCTTTTTATTTAAAATAAATAAGTTGTGCATTTTTAGAGATTAAATCAAGTTTTTATTATTTTTTATAATAGAAAACCACATTTGAAACGAGCTAGAGGACCAAATTTGTCCGAATTCGACAACTAGAGGTTCTGGTATCTGGTTTCATAGTTGGGGGTTGAAAATCGAACTTTAGTGCAAGTTGAGGGTTGAAAAATGCACTTCACCCCTAAAGTAATCATGGGATCAAAACATCGTCTTGGATAAAGTTAGTAGACGCATGTTATATAATTTAATGGGTTTATATGTTTCCATACCCCTTATTGTTGTTTACTTGTGTTAACTTTCTTGTTGAATAAAAGATCGTGTCCTTGTAGATCTGTACTGTGAAGGCTTAATAATCCAGAAATAGTGTGGTTAGGGCATCTGTTTTGTCAGAAGGCATGTTGGTGAGCCTCGACACTCGCGTGAATGGCCTAACACTGCCCGTACGGACGTATCCATCTCGCGTTGCTCAAAATAAAAAAAAAATCTCCGTCACTTTCCTCTGACCGCTGCGTCTGCATCCACTCGAATCGCCGGCTGTGCCCGTACCGCAGCGGCATGCTCCATCGCGACCGAAACGCGGCGGCATGCTGCACCGCGCCCGAGCATCGTCGCCTGCCTTCCTATCATCCCACCGCCACTCACCACTCGCCGCTGAGTTCTTCGAGCCGACGTAGTGTGGTTCGCGGCGACAGCTCCGGTGCGGCTTTCTTCACAGCGCCCAGCCGCTTGCTTGCCGCCATCCTCCCTCTCCACTGCACCCGAGCACCGCTTGCTGGCTACTGCAGTTCCCCACCAGGTAGGGCGTGGGCGCCGTCGACGCCGTGTTTCAAGTGTTTCAGGTTTTTTTAAAGTATGTTTTCAGATGTTTCATCTGGATATTGTATATGTTGCAATGGTCATATACACATGTTGCAAGTATATGTTAAATGTTTCAGTTGTTTCAGATGTATGTTTCAAGTGTTTTGTTGCAGAAGTTTATCTGGATGTTGTATAATATGCATGTTGTAAGCGTATGTTTCAAGTATTTTTGGTGTTTCATACGTATGTTGCAAGTATTTTATCTGTATATTGCAAAAATAGATCTGGATGTTGTATGCGTTTGCAATGTCTTTCAAGTGTTTTCGGGTGTTTCGCAACTATTTTAAACATATAATGCAAGTGTTTCAACTGCTTTGGACGTATGTTGTAAGTGTTTCATCTGGATTTACACATGCTGCAATGGGACCACTTGCCGCAGTTGCCTACTGCAGTTGCTGGGGCGCTGCCGAGTGGGCGCAACATGTCACTGCCTGCATACGCGTGAAAAGCTTACGAGACACGAGCGGTTTCCCTGTGTCGTAGGTCGGAGTGGGCGGCGCGGGCCTACGTGGGCGCACAGCGGTGCAAGCGCGGGAAACAGGGTGCTGACACCGGCGTCCGGACGTCCGGCGCTAGCAATCCCGTTGATAATCAGATGGAGGAATCGCCATCGAATGGATCACGTCTTAATTCTCTGCCCAAGCAGCAGCGTGTCCTCAGTATAAACCTCTTCCTCTTGCTTTTTTACTTTTTTATGTCTGAACTCTCTGCATAGTGTTAGAGATTGTAGTGCACTCCATGTCACTATGACATGTGCTCATGTCTGTGTTATCTATAACACTATGCAGTCCAATCAGTGTTTAGCCTGTAATTTTGTTGCGGAATCCTATGCTTTGATCAGTAGAGCGCAGCATAACGTGCAACAGAGGGATAAGTCCAATATCCTTTGTCTTTATTTGTGCCGGAGAACGTTATTATTATACTGTGATGGAGGGAAGTGTGGGATGGGTGCAGGTGCAAACGACGACCAATGAAATGGATAGGCTGAACTAATTGATTGATTTTGTGTTGTGGTGTGCGGCCCGTGCCCGTCCCCGTGCTGCGGTGCCCATCCCCACGGCGCCACGCTGCTTTTCCCCGGATCTTACGTTACGTGCGTCCCGCCGAGCCGCTGCACGCCTAGCCGAGCGCCCTTCCCGTTCGGCCGCGAGCAAGCAAGCCGGACACAAGTGGCGCTGGCCGACTGCTGGCGGCACAAGAGATAAAGCGTTCGATTCGCGGAAAAAACGAGACGAAATACTGTTTCGGTTCATTTATCGTTAGAGAAAAATTCTGTTTCGACTGAAAAAAAAAAACTAAAAAACGGATCAAAAGGGGAGCCAACAGTGTCCGACGCGGGCCGCGCGCGGGCGGATGAGCCGTCGCTATCACCTATCAGCTAACTCCTATCACGGTCATACTAGTATGGATGAGCAATCAAGTGACCGACCAACGGCAATGACAGCGAAACTGCGGGTCCCACTAGTATTTACCAGGACCAATACACAGGCCAGTACAGAGTGAGTACAGGCACAGAGCAGAGCCACACACTTGGGCCGTCGGTCGGATGGTCCAATCCAATCCTATCCAATGGCACGCACGGCTAGCTCGACGAAATTGAGGGTTAACGCAATAATAACCCCCAAAATAACAAGGGAACGCGTTCACGTCATGTGCCAGATAGCGCCGCCGTGGGCGTAGGCGTTGGCGGAGGCGGAGGCCGACGACGAGGAGAGGTGGTCGTAGTCGCTCTCGTCGGGGAGGAGGCGGTCGCGGCAGAGCGGGCAGGTGGCGCGCGGGCGGACGAGCCAGGCGTCGAGGCAGGTGCGGTGGAAGACGTGGCGGCACCGCAGCTCGCGCACCTCCTCGCCGTTGCGGACCACCGAGAGGCAGAAGGCGCAGTCCGGGTCCTGCGCCTGCTGCCCCTGCCCCTTCCCTTCGCCGCGGCGGTACACGGCGACGGCGAGGCGGTCGCAGTACTCGGCCGGCAGCGGCGGCGGCTCGTCGTCGTCGGGGAACACGGAGGGGTACGCCGCGCTAAGGCCGTCGATGCCGGGGCGCGCGACGCGGTAGCCGAGCATCGCGGCGCGCGTGGGCCACCAGGCCTTCATCTCCCCGCGGAGCGCGAGCGACGCCACGCGGAGGCCCGCCTCGCCCACCACCAGCAGCAGGAGCGCGCACGGCAGGGAGATGGCCGCGTACAGCACGGACGATGATAGCGCGCCGCTGACCTCCATCTCCATGACGATCGCCGATCGGCTCCTGTAGTCCTGTCTGCCTGCCTGTCTTGGGCTGCTGGGAAGAGAAGCAGGCAGTGCGGGCCGTGTCGAGGCGTGGGCGTCCTTGGGTTTGGGGGCGCTCTGCTTCTGGCTTCTGCTCGCGGGCGTGTCGTTGGGGAGAGACGAGAGACGCAGTGCTCGGCGCCGGAGCCTGAGCCCGATCCAGATCCAGATGGCTTGATTTATAAGTCATGTTTTTTTAACCATCAGCTAAACCATACCTTGTCATCCAAGCGAACAGAGGCCGAGTCAGCCGCCGGAAAGGTACCCAACCGTCCCACACGTCGCACAGGTCTTCGACAAGGGAGCGGACGCAGTCTATCGTGACGAGACGATATACTGCAATCTGACGTTGTGGGCCAAGTCATGGCGCTCTGTTGGCTCCATCTTCCAGTCCTGTGCAATTGTGCATGCATCGACCAGACATTTCCGCTCAAGCGCGCGCCAAATCCTCCCTCTCCCTCTCCTTTCACCAAAATCCGCCCCCAATCGATTCATGAACCCTTACGTGCCAAATCCAAGGATAAATAAAACTTGGAAGTCAATCTCCAGATCGCCACCTCCCAAAGATCGCCGCCGGCGCTGCTGCTAGATTGCGTCGGCTTCTGCGCCATCGCCTCTGAAGATTCACGCCGTCCCCGTCCGGACGCCGCCGCAGCCCGCAACAGCAGCCTGTCCTGCAGACTGCAGTACGGCTCCGTGACTCCGTCGGTGGCCGCTGCGTGCTCATGCCTTGATGCTTGTGCATCTCCCTTGGGTGAGCAAGCATTGACCAAGGACCATGATATTGGTTAATGTACACACGTACTACTAATTTGCAAGCTGCTACATTCGTGTCCTTGCTTAGGCCTGTTTGATTCTTTATTAGTCTAAAATTTAGTTGACTAAAGTTAACGACTAAAATTTTATACGTACCACTTTAAATCATTTGTATGGTCCAAAATTTTACGAGGTTGACTACATTTTAGGTAACACTTTAGATATTCTATTTGGAGCCTCAATAAATAAAGTGATCTGGAATTTAGTGACACGGTCTAAACAGGATCTTATATTACCTCAACAAAGAAACATTTATTTAGGGGACTGTTTGGATCCTACTTCCTCCATTCAAAAATAAGTGTTATTTTTACTTTCTAAAAAGTCCATTGCTTTTAATTTTGAGCTTATATATATATAAATAATAAGGAATCAACAATATTTATGGGTATAATAAGTATTATTAGATTTATTGTTAGATACTCCCTCCGTCCATGAAAGAATGCAATTATGGGATACGTGCTGGTCAAGGTAGTTCAAAGTTTGATTAAGTTTATAGTAAATAGTATTAATATTTATGTCTCCAAATAAATTTATTATGAAAATATATTCTATGACTAATCTAATGATATTAATTTCGCATCATGAATGCTAGTACCTTTTTATATGATTTTAGTCGAAGTTCAAATGGTTTGACTTCTTGAAAAGTGAGAATTGCATTCTTCTGTGAATAGAGGGAGTATATTTTCATAACAAACTATTTAGAGAGATATATATTAGTATTTTTCTATATATTTAGTTAAAGCTTTTGACCTGCATAGAATTCAAAGCAAAATTATTGTGGGACAGCGGAGGTACAAGTTGTAAGGGCACGTGCGGTGGGTGACTCGTAAGCTAGCTCTAAGTATTTTTTAATATTTTAGTAGAAGAGAAAGAAAAGCTAAATTTTAATCAAGAGCTAGGCTCATGCATATATTCTAAGTATATGCGAGAGTTTTATGTAGATCTAATGATAGTATGAGTCATTATTAAAAGCTAATATTATTAGAGGGTTTAGAGCTTTCTGATGCCTAAGATCTAATTTATCAACAGTCCGTACCAATTATACTATAAACATGTTTGGTGGAATGGCTATAAAGACGTAGAATAGTATGCACACTTAATAAATATTATTTATACTAAATATTTACATATTTAATGCAACCAATCTATGTACTGCTCCACGATATGGGTTGACTATACGTGGCGATATGACATAGCCTCAGCCGACTGAGCTACTACGGTGTGGTGCCACGGCGCGCAGGCCTCGGCCGCGTGGCGGGGGGGCTCGTGAGCTCGTCCGGCCACTCAAACAGCCAGGCCCGGCAGAGGACGTGCCGCGCAACGGCATGGGTGTCAGGGCCAGGCATGGGCGGGCGTGCAGTCTTGTCATCCTGTGGACGGTGGATTGTTTTTTTTCTAAAAAAAAATATTTGGACGGTGGATTATTATCTCGACCCTGCTCAAGCGCAGAGTCGGCGAGGCGGTGGATTCTCTGCCACCCCCGGTCCCCGGCGAGGCGGCGACCCCAATTATACCTCCATCCGTCACAAAAGAAAATATAAATATCACTTTCTAAATAATCAAATATTTTTAATTTTGATTAAATATTAATTAAAAAGTATGAGCGTGGCTAGCGTTTGGACCCGTCCACGTCCGGACATCCGCGCAGCCCGCCCGCGTCTGCCTTCGCTCCGATCCCGTCCGTCTTCGCCTCACCCCACGAGCGCACTTCGCCCCGTCTCTGTGCCCGCCGGTCACCCCTGACCCCCTCCTCTCTCTCCACGCGAACAACACTCAAGAGCCAGGATGAGCATGCCTCCAGCGTGGCCTAACTGCACCACCACCATCCGTCGGCCCCCAGCAGCCCCGTCCGCCGGACCGCTAAAGATGGCAACGGGTATATACCCGTCAGGTTATCCCATACCCATACCCGCGAGATAAAATTTTACCCGCTAAATTACCCGTACCCGTGCACGGGTAGAGGACTTCACCCATACCCGTACCTGCACGGGTTAAAATACCCGACGAGTAACCCGTATCCAAATGCATACCCGCTACAAACCAAAAGAACATGAATATATTATATTATTAGAATCATATATCGTCAAATCTTTGTCAATAGAAATCAACAATTATAACATAGCAACAAAACTACACTAATTAGTAGTATAATAGTCATAGATATATTAGATATATGTGCATTTCATAGTAATTAATGAATACATGTGTTACTAAGGCGGGTATAAATTAGTCACGGGTACACGGGTGTGGGTAGTATGTCCCCGTTCCCATACCCGCATACCGAATGGGTAGAGATTTTTACCCATTAGCATACCCGTGGGTGAAGAATTCTTTCCATACCCGTCTCTTTATTGGGTAAAACCCATTAGGTAGTCAGGTTTCGGGTACCCATTGCCATCTTTACCCCCAGCGCACCGCACGTCCATCAGCTCGCCCCCGGTTTGCCCCCGGCAGTACAACTTAAAACACTTGCAACATAAAAAAAATATTTGAATCCAACATACGTCCAAAAGCAGATGAAACATTTGGAACACGCACTTACAACATGTGTGTGAAACACACGAAACATACAGATTTGCAACTTGCAACATGGAACCACTTGCCGCAACATAAGACTGAAACATTTGGAACCTACTGTTGCAACATATATATGAAACATATGCAACATCCAGATAAAAAAAGATTGCAATAGACGTCTGAAAACAGATGAAACATTTTTGAACAAACGTGTGCAATATGGCTCTGAAACACTTGCAACATGTGCAACATCCCCTATCTACTTTTGCAACATACATCTGAAACGTCTGAAATACTTGAAACATATGTATGCAACAAAGGGGAGGGAAGGCCGGGTTACGGCCGTTGGGGTGCGACCCGCACCGCGCGAACACCACCAACACCGGGCATGCTAGCGGGTGCCTGTTGGGTATCGATATTAGGGATACCCAGAGGAAGGAAGTTAATGGCCACGAACGTTAATTCATCCGGATGGTCCAAGACGTATTTAAGGTCTCGCCCGACCCCGAGGGCGCGGGCCCTATCTGGCCAGACCCCTCGGACGCGGGCTCCGTCTCGCCCGACCCTGAGGGCGCAGGCTCCGTCTCGCCAGACCCCTTGGGCGCGAGCTCCGTCTTGCCCGACCCCGAGGGCGCGGGCTCCGTCTCGCCAGACAGGGATCTATACCGCCTCCAACCACTACGGGTCTAAGAGTATGACCCCAGGGTCAAACTTCTGACACCGGGAGGGAAGCGGGCACGTCTCGAGGTGACCCGTTGTGGCAGAACCGCCCAAAATAACACGCTTTCGGAGGCGCTCGTCTTGCACTAGACACTAAGCACATCGAAAGGGAGCTACATCGGGCAGTTTCGTCGAGCGCACCCCAAGGGAGAACTCGAACAATCCACGTTTTTCATTCAGAATCCAATAATAAGAATGAGTTTACAATACTTAATCCATTTCATACAACAAGAGTTCTTGGAAATACATTATTACAATACCAAGTTTAGAGTACGAAATTTAAACATCAGAATTGAAATAAACATCTAACGATAAGATATAAGGATCCGTCTGTGTAACACCCTCGATGTTACCGCTTAAACAACTTGCTAAACTATGTCATGAGCATCATGTTTATGTGTCAATGCATGTGATAATGTGTGTAGATCAATTTTCGTAACTCAAAACGATCAACAAAAATACTAAACGAAAGTTGATTCAATAGTCATGTTATATCACTTAGGGTTTAAAACCAATTTTTATTAAGCAAAAATACTATAGAACATGTATGTGACACTTAAATAAAGTTGGAAGTACAAACTTGGTAGATGACAACGCAACTTTAACTTTTGGAAAATAGATGTTGTTAACTAGTGTTTTGAGAGCTCTAAAACCAAACTTGACGTTAAGATAAGCTCTTTTCGTTAAGTCGGCAAACACTTCAATTTATGTTTAAAGTATCATTTTGGCGAATTATATTGAGCAAAATAGTTAAATAGTGCTTAAATATCTTGCTCCTACGGGTTGGTATAAAGTATGGACTATTGTGTGAAGTAGGTGTTGGTTAAGGTTAATAAAGTTTAGACCTTTTAAAAATCATGACAAGAGTGCTAGTGGTTGCTAGTTCTAACCAAGCCTTTAAATTTTCT